CCTGTCTGTCTGTGTGTGTGTGTGTGTGTGTGTGTGTGTGTGTGTGTGTGTGTGTCTGTCTGTCTGTCTTCTCTATGTACACCCAACCATTGTCTTCGTTATCATTAAGCCCCTTCATTATCCTCTCTCCTCTCTCTCTCTCTCTCTCTCTCTCTCTCTCTCTCTCTCTCTCGTACATCATCTTTTCCCTTTCTTTCCATCTCCTTTACCTCCTCTGCCCCTTTCTCCTTCCATCCTTCTTTCTTCTCCCACCTTCACTATCTTCCTCTCCCCTTTCTCCCTATCCTCCCCATCTCTTCCCATCCTCCCCATTTCTCTCCCATCATCTGTCCGTTCCTCATCATCAGATGGGAATGGTGGAAGAGACGGTTCCCACCATTCCAGCGTAACACCTGCCCTCCCAGGATGCCGGGGAAGGAGGGAGCGATGGGCAGGGAGGGAGGGAGGGAGGATAGTGGGAGGGTAGAGGTAGGAGTGGAGGTTGGGTAGGGAGAGGTAGGGATGGGGAGGAATAGAGTGAAGGGGAGGGACGGAGGAGAATGTAGAGTGGAGGGGAGGAGGATGAAATCGAGGGATAGGAAGAGCAGCGGTAGGAGGGCGATGGGAGGAAGGGAGGGGCGTTGTGGGGATATTTAAATAGGCGTTAATTGTCGTGGGGCGCATGCGTATGGCGTATCATCGAGGGCAGAGTCTCCCTTTCTGTAGTACACGAAACCCTAACCTAACCTAACTAACCTAACCTAACCTAATAATCTGTACATGTTCGTGTCTCTTTGTCTATGTCTCGTTGTCTCTTTATAAATAGCTTCTCTATCTCTCTAAGCATCTCCTTGTATCTCTTTCTACATCTTATCTCTTTATGTATCTCCGTCTCTCTGTTTCCATCTCTCAACGTCACTATCACCGATTATCTCTCACGCCTTCCTCCATCTCTTTAGTAAAACACACACACACACACACACACACACACACACACACACACCGTGACCTACACTACAATCTACTCAAAACTTGTGTTCAGAGGATCGTGTTGCATAACCTCTTTCCGTCCTTTCCTTCCTCTCCCCTCCCTCCCTTTCCTCTTCCGCTGCCTCTGGGATAGACAGACAGACACAGACACACGAACACCTTCCTCCTCCTCCTCCTCCTCCTATTCCTCCGCGTGGCCGAATAAACTCTCAACTTCCTGGCCTGGTTACCCTCCTCTCCTCCTCCTCCTCTTCCCGACATCCCCAAGGCGGAAGTTTAGGTCCTCACGCCCTCGCTAACACCACCTACGCTCTCTATGCCTCCTCCCGTGCTCCCCTTATTCCTTAAAACCCCTTAAATTGAGGGGGTTTAAGGTTGGTGTTTGTTCTCAGGTAGCCGGGGTTGGCGTGCTTCAGGGGGATTGGTAGGAGCCGTTGGTGTTTTGCAAAGGACGGGGGAGTTTGTGGCCACGCACGGGATGTGGCCAGGAGGTGGAGACGGATCACTGCCTCTCCCCACTGTCAGTCTGGCTGGCTACCTCGCTCACGCTGGCCACACACACACACACTCTCACATTCACACGGTCTGATCTGGAGGACACTACCACTACTACTACTACTATTTTTCCTTCTACTTCTGCTACTACTGCTACTATTGTTCTTGCTAACACCACCATCATCACCACTTGACACCTACTATAACTACTACCACCACTACTAATACCACCCTGACCACCACCACCACCACTGCTACTACTACTATATTTACCATAACCTTGACCACCACTACATACACTTACCACTATACCACTTTACACCCACCATCACCACTACCACCAACCACAACCACGATCCTTACCACCACCACACCCCTTACCACAACCATCACCCCTCACCATCACCACCACTACCACGTTCTTCAGTGGAAAGTGCGTATTTATAGTTAAAAATTACCATGCGTATCTTGCAACTGGCGTACATGATTGGAAATTGATTTAAGGTGCACACTAATTATAATGCGTACAGAACAAGCGTATATACGAATAAAAATTGGCGTTATTACCTCACAGACTTCAGTACAGTGACTCAATTACTTTTTTATGAATGGATGTCCTGTGACTGTGTGTGTGTGTGTGTGTGTATGAATGGAAAATGTGTTAGCAGTTTATAGAGAGATTACGATGCGTTAGGTGATACACGTAGCGTATATATATATATATTGCGTACGTGAATGGTGGATAGCGTTTCTCTCTCTTGGGTGTGTGTTTTGATGACGCCTCTGTGTGGGAATTAAATGTCATCTGTCTGTCTGTCTGTCTCTGTCTGTCTGTCTGTCTGTCTCTGTCTGTCTGTGATCACGTAGGGAGGAAACGGGGAGCAATAAGTCGCAACAGGAGGGAACAGGAGTCGACTTGAATCAACAGGAGGCAACGAGATGACAGGGCACAATATGGGACGAGAGGGAGGGAGGGATGAAGGATATGAAGGAGGGAAGGAAGGAAGGCAGGAGAGAAGGAAGGAGAGAGGGAGGATGCGAAGGATGTGTAGTAGGGGAGGGAGGGAGGTGTGTAGGGTGTGGCAGGCACTGAAGGAGTGAGGAAGGAGGGAGGGAAGGCAGGAGAAAAGGAAGGAGGTGGAAGGCAGGAGAAGGAGGGGAGAGAGGAAGGCAGGAGAGAAGGGAGGGAGGGAGGAAGGCAAGTACTTCCGTCGGATATTATGGTTCTCGTGCACACCTGCCCTTGACCCACCTGTCACCCGTGGCCCACCACCATGCATCCTACACACCTTCACATCCTTCACACCTTCACATCCTTCACATCACATTCCCTCCTTCCCCCCTTATCCCCCCTCCTTCCCTCCTTCACATGCTACCTCCTTCCTTCACATCCTACACTCCTCCCTCCTCCATGCCTGCTACACATCCTACACCCTCCAGTTTATACACATCCTGTCCCTCTATCCTACAACATCCTTCCTTGGGCCTCAAACTAGTCTCAAACAGTGTCCCATGTCTTGTAGGATCTTGCTAGGATGTTGAAATCTCTCCTAAGGATCTCTGTATCATTCTCTCTTGTCAATCCTACACTACATAGCCTCTGTAGTCCCGTACGCTGTAGGATGTCTTAAACCACTTGTAGGATCTTTACACACACACACACACAAGGTCGAGTATCTAGCCAATGACCCGAGAGTATCGAGGCCATTGCCGCTCCTGGGAACCCCAGTTTCAGTCGGTCGTACGATACGTTTTTTGTCATAAATAAGATCTTAAAGGGTCATACGATTTTTTGTCGTAACTTATTTTGGGCGTGGAAGACGGAGGCGTGGGCGGGCTTTGGGCGTGGGAGAAAGGCGTAGGGGAGTTGTGGGCGTGGGAGACAGAGGCGTGGGCTGGCTGTGGGCGTGGAGACGGAGGCGTGGGCGGGCTTTGGGCGTGGGAGAAGAAGGCGTAGGGAGTTGTGGGCGTGGGAGACAGAGGCGTGGGCTGGCTGTGGGCGTGGGAGACGGAGGCGTGGACGGGCTGTGGGCGTGGGCGTGGGAGGCCGGGGCGCGGGCAGGCGGGCTGTGGTGGCTGTACCCAGGATAACGGAGAATGTGAATTGCTCACGAAGTCTGTTGTGACCAACCGCTGTGAGAACTCTAGCTAGGACACCCCAGCTGGGACACCCCTGCTAGGACACTGGCTAGGACACCCCAGCTAGGACACCCAGCTAGGACTGCTGGGACACTCCAGCTAGGACACCCCAGCTAGGACACCCCTGTTAGGACACTCCAGCTAGGACACCCCAGCTAGACACCCTGTTGGGACACCCTTGCTAGGGCACCCCAGCTAGTAATAATAGTAGTACTAGTATTTTTGTTACTGATAATAATAATAATAATAATAATAATAATAATAATAATAATAATAATAATCTTCATCATCGTCTTCATCATCATCATCATCATCATCATCATCATCATCATCCTTATCATCGTCTTCCTGCCCATGTTTTGAGTCACGATCGATAATAGTGTGTTGAGGTGAGTGTTTGATACTGAGAGAGTGTGTGTGTAAAGGTAATTGAGAAGGGAAAGTGATTTAGAGTGTGAGAGAGAGAGTGAAACTGAAAGAGAGAGAGAAAGAGAGAGTAAAACTTAACCCTTTGAGTTCATTGCCATCGTACGCAAGGGATTAAGTCATTGTACTCAAATTTAATGCGTCTTAAATATTGAGGCAGGATACCCGCTATATAGGATAGGATGTTGCTAGTTAAGGATAGGGCGATGCTAGTTTAGACTCCAAAATCCTTATGTAAAATAGCAAGGTAGGATGAAGGATACCTCTTGGTTATAATAAGACTTAATAGCGTGCAGGACTCGCTATGGTAGGATAAGGATACCTTCTAGTTGATAATAGGATAGTGCTCGTTTAAAATCCCAAATCCTTACGTTAAATAGCTAGGAAGGTGAAGGATACCAACTAGTCTATGTGGAGCAAATAGCGTGTCGGACTCTGGCATGTTTGCTGAAATAATAAAGAAAGGTTTGGTAGGATATAGGATGTGGCGAGGCGGAAAGGGAGAAGGTGGAGAAGGAGGAGGAAGGTAGAGAAAGGGGGAGGTAGAAAGGGGGGTGAGTTTTGTGGTCTGTTGTGCTCACCGGAGTATAAACGGAGGGTGAGGTATGTTCCTCCTCCTCCTTCTTCCTCTTCCTCCTCCTCCTTCCTCCTTCTTCTCCTTCCTCCTTCTCCTCTCCTTCTCCTTCCTCCTTCTTCCTCCTCTTCTTCCTCCTCCTCCTTCCTTCTTCCTCTTCCTTCTTCCTCTTCCTCCTTCCTTCTTCCTCTTCCTCTTTCCTTCTTCCTTTTCCTCCTTCCTCCTATCTTTTTCCTTCATTTTCCTTCAGTTTCTGTTCCTCCTCCTCCTGTCTCGTGTCTACTCACAGTTCCGTCAGTATTGTCCAGTGTGTGTGTGTGTGTGTGTGTGTGTGTGTGTGTGTGTGTGTGTGTGTGTGTGTGAGTGTGATAAGTTATTGACGTCACAGGTTTTGTTTTGACGTGTATAACAAGAATAGGTTTATTTATTTGATTATTTGTTTGTTTTGTTCATTTGTGTCATTGATTTCATTTCGTGTATTTTATAAGGAAAAGATTGTGGGATTTTTGTATGTACAGTTTGCTTTACTGTTGATGTTGATGTGAATAGTATTCTGTCTTAGTCAAATGTAAGTCTGTATATTTTCATACCGGCCACTCCTATTAATAAACCGTTTTATTATTATTATTATTATTATTTTATTATCACACACACACACACACACACACACACACACACACACACACACACACACACACACACACCAAGCGTTTAAGTATTACAAGCGTGGCTGACGTTCATGACTGTCAGCTGAGAATACATAAGCGTGGGAGGCTCTCGTCAGCAGGCAACAGACAAGAATGGTGTGTGACGATAGTGAACCTAACCTAACCTAACAATCACTACTACTACTATTACTACGACTACTACTAATAATAATAATAGAATCACAACCACCACAACCACCACCATGCACAACTACCACACACACAATCACCACCACACAGCACCACCACACAACCACCACAACCACATCACACAACCACCATCACACACAACCACCACCACACACAACCACCACCACACACAACCACCATCACACACAACCACCACATACACAACACCATCACACAACCACCACCACACAACCACCACAACCACCATCACACAACCACCATCACACACCAACCACCATCACACCAACTACTACACAGCCACCATCACACACAACCACCATCACACACAACCACCACCACGCACATCCACCACCACACACAACCACCACCACACAACCACCACAACCACCATCACACACAACACCACACACACAGCCACCATCACACACAACCACCACAACCACCATCACACACAATACCATCACGCACAACCACCGTCACACAGCCACCACAACCACCACACACAGCCACCACAACCACCATCACACAACACACACACACAACCACCACCACACACACAACCACCGCAACCACCATCACACAGCCACCACAACCATCACACACAGCCACCACCACACAGCCACCACAAACACCATCACACACCACCACACCACCAGCACACACATACCATCACACAACACCATCACACACAACCACCACCACACACAACCACCACAGCCACCATCACACAGAACCACCACAACCACCATCACACACAACCCACCATCACACGCAACCACCATCACACTTCTGCAACCACCATCACACACACACAACCACCATCACACACTAGCCACCACCACGCACATCCACCACCACACACACAACCACCACCACATACCACAACCACCATCACACCTAACCACCACACAACCACCATCCACACCACAACCACAACACACACACCCATCACACAGCCACCACAACCACAACCACCACAGCCATCATCACACACAACCGCCATCACACACAACCACCATCACACAACCACCAACACAGACAACCCCATCACACACAACCACCATCACACACAACCACCACAACCACCACCACGCATCACACCACACACAACCACCAGCACACACAACCCACCATCACAACCACCACAACCACCGTCACACAGCCACCACAACATCATCACGCACAACCGCCATCACACACAACCATCACACAACCACCATACAACCACCACCACACAACCACCATCACACACACCTACAACCACCAACACACACAGCCACCTCACAGCCACCACAACCGTCACAACCACCACAGCCATCATCACCACAACCGCCATCACACACAGCCACCATCACACAACCACCAACACACACAACCACCATCACACAACCACCATCACACACACCCACCACAACCACCACCACACACAACCACACCACACAACCACAACCACCACCGCACATCCACCACCACACACACCACCACCACACAGCCACCACAACCACCATCACACACACAACCACCACCCACACAGCCACCACAGCCATGGTCACACACAACCACCACAACCATCATCACACACAACCGCCATCACACACACAATCCATCACACAACCACCAGCACACACAACCACCACCACACAGCCACCATCACACAACACCACAACCACCAACACACAGCCACCATTACACACATACCACAACCACCATCACACACAGCCACCACAAAGACCATCACGCACAACCACCACAACCACCATCACGCACAACCACCACCTTTATCACACAGCCACCACAACCACCTCACACACAACCACCACCACACACCACTACCATCACACACAGCCCCACAACCACCATCACACACACACCACCATCACACACAACCACCACAACCACCACCATCACACACAACCACCATCTTAGCCCACACAACTACCATCACACAGCCCCATCACACAACCACAACCACCATCGCACACAACCATCAGTACCATCACACAACCACCACAACCACCATCACACAAAACCACAGCCACCATCACACACAACCCCACAACCACCATCACACAACCACCATCACACACACAGCCCCCACAGCCACCTCACACACAACCCCACAACCACCATCACCACACAACCCCCACAGCCACCATCACACACAACCACCACAGCCACCATCATACACAACCACCATCACATCACCCACAATCACACACTGACACCCAGCCACTACAACCATCACACACAACCACCATCACACACAACCACCATCACACAACACCATCACACACCACCACACAGCCACCGTCACACACAACCCCCTGCCACTCTTATACCACAACCACCATCACACACACACAACCATCACACACAACCACCACAACCACCATCACACACAGCCCCCCACACCACCTCACACACAACCACCACAACCACCATCACACACAGCCACCGTCACAGCCCCATCCTATCACACTAGCCTATACCATCACACACAGCCACCATCACACAATACCAACCACCACCACAACCACCATCACACACAACCACCATCACACACAACCACCATCACACACAACCACCACAACCACCATCACACAACTACCACACACAACCACCACCACACACAACCACCACCACACACAACCACCACAACCACCATCACACAACCACCACAGCCACCACCATCTGACCACCACACAACCACCATCACACACAACCACCATCACACACAGCCACCACAACCACCATCACACACAACCACCCACACACATACCACCACACACAACCACCACAACCACCATCACACACAACCACACAGCCACCACCATCACACACAAACCACCACAGCCACCATCATCTACACAACCACCATCACACACAGCCACCATCACAACCACCATCACACTATCCTGTCACACATACCATCACACAGCTACCCCAACCACCATCACAGCTTCTGCACCACACACACAACACCATCACACACACCTGACCACCAGCACACACAGCCACCATCCACACACAACCACCACAACCCGTCACACACACCACCACAACCATCATACACACAACCG